CTCTACAGTTGCTCATTAACATGAACAGGTGTTTGTCTTTGCTGTCAGCAGTGTGTTCTGGTGTTCTGTTTCAAATGAATTATAATGTAACTATTTTAATTGGACAACCTGGTTTCTAAATATAAAAAATAATATCAAAGATAAAACTATTTACTTTGGTATGTAAATGGATGTAAATTGGCAGTGAGATTTAGAAAAATGAACATGGGGACACCTCCTGAAATCTTGCCTAGAGCACCAAATTGGCTAGGGCTGGCCCTGGTTCTAGTTAAAGCACAGAGCCACTTTAACCATGTACAGTTTTTCTAATGACTATAAAATTCACCAAGAAAAAAAAAAGCTGCTGAAAAAACAAAGACAGTAAATCTCCTCACCAGGTCTGTCTTGTCTGTCCACTGAAAGTCATCCTCCACTGTACGATCATTCAGACCAATCCAGGTGTTGTCACGGCTCAGACCTGAATCACATGTAACACAGGAAACAATATCATCATCACAAACTTTATTTATAAAGCGCTTTAACACCAGCCACAGCTGAAACAAAGTGCTTAACATCTCAAATAAGTAAGACAAAGGAAAGAAGAAAAAGTAGTGACTCACAATGATGGATTAAAACTCAATTCAAAACACAACAAAGCGACACAGTTAAACAGATAAAATCAGCACCATTACAATAAAAGTTGAGTAAAATCGCATTTCAATTGGGTCGAAGGCCAACGAGTAAAATTTAGTTTCCAGATGGGTTTTAAAAATGGACAGTGAAGGGGCCTGTTGAATTTGCAAAGGCAGAGCGTTCCATGACTTAAGGACACTGACAGAGAAGTCACTGTCTCTTCTAAGCTTCCATTTAGAACTGGCAATGACCAGGAGGAGCTGGTCAGCAGACCAATAGATGAAAAAAGGGAGACAACACACAGATGTGACCTGATATTCATGTCAAACCATTTTTATGGCCTGCAATTGGATTGACCTTTATGTTTCATCACTGTCCACAAAAACAAACAAAAAATAAAAACTATTTCATTGGGTGAATTCAGTGTCCCAGGGGATRAATTGGAAAGTGTCGCTGGGGATACGGTTGTCTGGGTTTCTCTCCTGGATCAGTTTCCTCTGCAACCCAACTATAGATAAGAGGCAGAAGATGGAGATATTCAGTCGAGCTGCCAAGTTTTAGGATAAAATGTCTTTTCTACTTGAGGGTGACTCAGTGGTATTGATTGACAGTTTTCCAGATTGACTTCCATAACAGAAACATACTGTCTGTTTTTATTTATTTATTTATTTGTTTGTTTGTTTGTTTGTTTGTTTGTGTGTGTGAAAGAAAACATCCCATAAGGTGTTTTGGCTCAAACACATTTGTGTGTGTGGGAGTGCAAGAGCCTGCACACACTTGATGGATTAAAAATTGAATCATGGTAATGATTAACATCATTATTAGGCTCATTAATCTTACTAATGACTCTGATCCCTTTATTGCTTGGGTGGAGACATCCATTTTCCAGGAAACGTCACAATTTTTTTGGTAACTGTGCCTATGTGGAAGAAAGATGAGCGATAGATGGATGGCTCTGTGCAGGTGTCTGTCTGAGATGGAAAGTGGGCCAACAATTACAGACTCTTGCTACAGGTGATCTGGTGTTATTACAAGACAAGAGCCAATGGAGAGCTGCTGGGAGGCAAAAAGATTAGATTAAAGAGTTCAATGAATACAAGGCACCGAAAGAAAAACAAACGGGCGTTAGCATTTTAACTTTGAGTGGTGCTAATTAACTGCTCTCTCCATACAGYCGTGAATGAGAGCAGGTAAAAGCTTGCATTTGAATGAACAAATTCAGGAAGGGTTCATTCTTTATTTTAATTTTATGTTAATTAAATCTCAAAAAGTTGCATTCATTATAGAATACATGATAAATGGACTGATCTTATATAGCACCTTTCTATCCAACCAGGTTACTTAAAGCACTTAACACAATCTGTGCCCTCAYTTACCCATTCACATACATTCATACAGAACTCTAATCCATCTCTCTACAAGGCTAATCTGAAACAATTATTCCATAGAGTCTAATCCAGAGGAGCCCAAAGTGGGGCCCGCGGGCCAAATTTGGCCCGCCAAGCCATTTGATTTGGCCCACCAGCAGATGCTATAGTTACAAGGTTGTAACCTGTCCTACTATGTAGAAACACAGTATTTCCACTTAAAGTCATTTTATCCATTGGTCAAATTAATATATAAGGGGCTGTAGTGTGCTGACTTTATCTTTGATATATTATTAAACATGAAACGTGAAATACAAGTAACAACAAGAGCTATTTAGATCAGATTTAACCACACATGTAGATTTGCACACTTTATAAGGCCACAAAACTTGTATTTTATCAATTTATGAAATGTCCTGTGAGCCTTTGCTGCTTGAGCGTATGGCAGACTTCACTAAAAACCAAAGTGGGCCACCGCACTGGCTGAAAGATTAACCATTAAAAATAAAGGACTTTATTTAAAAAGTATTTGTATTTCATGTATTATATTACTTCATTTGGCCCGCAGCCCCGTTTGGAYGGTCATTTTGGCYCACTTGRGGAAAATGTTTGGGCACCCCTGGTCTAATCAGTGGCAAACAAGATACTGCTACTACTACGCCAACGAAAGCATCACATGAAGGAGTTCAACTTCATGTTATATAGTCAACCTGTGTCAGAGATTCACTGATCAGCATGACACAATTTGTGAGAGTCATTAATGCCTTGGAGGGACCCCACTGAGATTTTAGCCCTAGTACAGGTCCACTTCGCATCAGAGCTGCCTGGAGCAAAGAAGGCGTAGATGAAGCATTTGAGGCATTGTAATGCCTAAAAACTAGAGCATGCTGCGTGACAGCACCTCCATGGGCTAAACCATCACCGGCCCAAAAAACCCACTAACTGAGTGGCCCACCGGGAAATTCCCCAGTAGTCCCATATGCTAGTCCGCCCCGAGTCCAATTAAAGGAAAAAACTAATGAAGAAGGATGCTCCACTTTACYAAGCAGAGAACCATTTTTAAACAATGTAGGAAATAAAAAGGATCTCTGCTTCAGAAATRTGTAAAATAGCTGAATGTCTTGGACAAGGTACCCTTGGACATTTCACTAAAACTCAAGTGTGATCATCGCACTGTTCAGAGATTTGTGGCTGATTCAGACCACACACAGGACACAACAAGGACAGTTTCTAACAGACAAATACACCAGATTAAGAGAACAGCTGCTAAAATGCCATTACARAGCAGCAAACAGGTATTTGAAGCTGCTGGCGCCTCTGGAGTCCCGAGAACATCAAGGTGTACGATCCTCCAGGGGGCTTGCAGTTCTGCATAAATCTTCTACTTCTACTCAACTACATCTAACCAATGCTCACAAGTTGAAACTGCTGCAGTGGGCTCTGAAATGCATGAAGACTCAAATCATCTTCACCAACTCATGCTGCAAGGAATACCTCTGCATCATGGGCTGCTTTGGGCATAAAATGGAGAGAAACTCATGGTGTGGCCCCCATCCTCCCCTGAACTCAACCCATTCAATCTTCACAAGAAAGATCTCTGAAGGTGACAGTCCACATCCAAACAGCAGCTCTGAGAGGCTATTCTGACAAAGAAATTCAAACAGAAACTCTCCAAAAACTCACCAGTTCAGTGTAGCTTCATCTGCTGAGATGTTTTTGATTGAAAAGCCATTGATTCCAGTAAATATGACCTCATACTGATGTAAATCTAAAAAATATCTTTTTCAGTTCTTAACAACATATAAATATTAATTTGGATTGACTATTTAAGAAAATCAGGGAAAAATACAATTTGCATCATAATTTTGAACTCAGTGTAATGTTGAACTCTATCTTTGTTTAAAGTGACCTTTTTATGTTAGTCGTAAATGGCTTTCCTTTACTCCTCTTTCAAACCATTTGTCTTCTTTGTCCAAAATCTGCACATTTTGATCCTCGTGTGTCCTTTACTTTTGAGATTTAGGACAGATAAATCAGCCACTCACCTATGTTGAGCCATGTGTCGGTGAAGAGGCTGTTTCATTTCTTTAATATAAAAGTCTGAACATTCCTCTCTGCACTGAACTGCAGACACCACACCATCAGTTTGTGTTTGGGGGTTCCGCCTGGTCCATCCTAACATTTAACATTTAGGTCTGACATTTCGGTTTTGGTCTTTGTAAAATCAACACCATAAGTAAGATATGGTGCATAAAAGGGATTAAAGCAAATCCTGGTTAAGTTGTTTAAAAAAATATAACAAAAAAAAAAAGGCAACAATCTAAGCTTGACTGCACAGGGACTTTTCTATTGCTACAGATAGYATTTAGCAAACTGCTATGGTAAACTGTAACTGCTTTATGGAGGATAGGACTTAGCTTTAAAAATGAGCTCTCTGTGATGTGCTGTGAAGTCTGGGGTCACTCAAGGGTCTGTGCTTGKCCTCTTGCTATGTCCCAAAACTTTACCTTGAAAATTGACATAAYCCATGTGCATGTTTATAAACTGCCAGCTGGGTTATTTTATTCTCCASTGACTGAATGTGAATGCTGTAGCATGCAGTTATGTTTCCTCCAAACAAGATAGTGAGACTCAGTGTGTGTGCAGTAAGAACTCTGTACACATAGACATTTTACTCCCTGATGCTGCCATCGTGTTAAGGGGATATTATCTTCAATATAAAGAGTTCAGTTAAGTTAAACTGGGGGTAGTGGTATTGTAGCAACCAATGACAACCGACTCTTAAGTAGCGAGGTCAGGGAACATTACTCAAAAGCATGGGTTTCAAATCCTGGTTCTCGAGGGCCACTATCCTGCATGTTTTGGAGGTTTCTCTCATCCAACACACCYGATTTGCATAAATGACTGATTACCAGTCTTTTACAGAATTTGAAGAGGTAATTYGATCACTGAATCAGGTGTGTTGAATCAAGAAAATAAGGGAAACATGCAGAGACCCTCAAGGAYATGGATTTGACACCTGTGCTCTAAAGGTTTTTCCAATTGGAACCAAAATAAAAGCCTGCCTTCAGTAGCTGTTCACAGCTGATTCACACCAACATTCATACCTGGCCTATGCGAAATGCATAAGAAATGAATGTGTCATCAAAGTGTGCTACTGATTGAATAGAATAAAGATTAAAAATAAAGCAGCAGCACAAGCCATGTTTAGCAGAGGACAAGAAGAGAAACTTACTATACATTCTATGCATCATTTTTTTTAAATGCCAACAGCTATTTCTGGACTTATTAACACAGGTGTGAGGTCAGAAAACCTTTTTTTCCCTTATATATTTTCCCTGGAATTATTGAGTTATAATGTGTTGTTGATTCTTTGAGTAAGGCCTCATGCTTGGTCTTTTTATTATTCTAGCTACTCCTTATAACAAGAAGAAAGAACACATGAAATAGTACAGTAGCTGCATATATGTGTGTTTGTTTTTAAWCGCAGCATTTTCAGAATACTCTCATTTATCAGTGCTCAGTGTTTTTCAGCAGATTTCTGTTTTTGGGGTTTCTTACATGTTGATTTTATAGTGTGTAGTTTCTGTATTTGCTCTGTGTTTAGGTTGTTGCCTTTTTGTGTTCCTGCCGATAGTCTCTGCTCCTCAGCCAGTCTGACATGCCTGTCTACACCTGTTCTTTGTYAAGTCCATCACAGCTGCAGCCACTTCTCTCATCAGCCAGTCTGTAGAGCCTTCAATGTTTCATTCACTCCTCTGTGGAGCGTTATGTTTTACTCATGCCATGTCCGGTCTTCCCTGAGCTTCCTTGTCTCCTCTTCCTTCCTTGTGATGATATATATTTTTGCAGCCAGACAGTTTTTCATTTTTTTAAAATTACGATACATTTTATTTTTTTAAGCTACCGCCACGTCTGTATTATTGTGTCCTAACCTCATGTGACACAAATAGCTCACACAAGTATAAAAATGTAGTAAAACCATTTCATCTAATTGTATGTATTTGACATATTCTCTCACCTGACAAAATTTGACACCAAACTCAGTGTTGAAAGCTAAAATTAATTTTATATTTAGTGAAGAAAATAGAATGTGAATGTAATGTTTCTTTTTATTAAATATTTTGGGAATCTCTTCTGGTAAACAAGTGAAATACATTAAAAAAAGCAGAATGTGACATTTAAAATTTAAAATTTATTATTTTTAACCATTGTTTAACCATTGAGATTGCAGATCTTTTTTGCAAGGGAGGCCCGGGCCTGAAGGCAACCTATTGTACATGTTTATGTGYTGTGGGGGAAACCGGAGCACCTGGAGAAAACCCAGGCAAGCRCAAGGAGAATATGCAAACTCCACATAGAAAGATCGTGGCTAACCACYAAGATTTAAAAAGTTTGATTAAAATGTAAGAAAAAAAAAAACTCACAGGGGAAAAACAGCCTACGTTTTAAATTTACATCCACAAATCGAAATTTCCTTCAATGCATAAATGTACAATAATTTTAAATAAATCCCTTTTTGTTTTGGTAAGAAGGAATGTCCACATATTAACATTGTAGAAGTAGTCTACAAAAAAATTAACAGAAATCTTCAAAAGTTTCTAAACCATTGGTCACTAATACGGTGCCCGCGGGCACC